TCTTACACTGCTAAATTAGGGACGGCTAGCGTAGAGAGCTCTCGTGTAGCTTTGCGCGAAATTCAAACAAACAAAAGAATTAAAGACCTTCGTTAGTTCGTTTTATTAACAAAGCCACATTGGTCTATCTGCTGTGTCCATCGCGAGGAACTGATCCTCGTATTTTAGCATTATAAGTTCGTCGACTTACCGCTGTCCCATAGGAGGAAAAAATTAATACCTATATATTTGTATGTATGTATGTATTTCAAAAACCACATGATTATATTTACATACGAATTACACGCCATCTATTAACAACATTTCCCTCTAATCCCCCAGCCTTATTTAATACTTTAAAATTATGTTTATTACTTTTGAATATCTCAGTAGATTTACGGATATAACTACCATTGAAGTATATAGGTTGTGCTAAAATAACAGTTTTTTCCCCATTGAATCAAAGGGTTTATTTTCATTTGTATGTTCAGCTAAAAGCGAGATCTTTATATTATCATATCTAACATTTATTTCATGTTCATTTATTTTGTATTTCAGATGTCTTATAGTTTGTCCTACATGAATATTTCCACATTCACATGATATTTTTGTATAACAGTTTTTCGATTGAATCAATTTTATCTTAAGGTTATATAAAGAACGTGGCTTTGTTGTTTTCTGAATTGTTGCATTATTTAACAAGATAAGCCAGGGGTAAGAGGTATTAGAAGCCTTTCATTTTTTCTTTAAATTTTCAGTGACTGATTTAAGCGTAATATTTTTATCCGCGTTCTTTTTAAATTCTTTATAGTTCTGTCAACAATATCAACAGAAAGAGGATTTAATCCTGAAACATTACATTCTAATATTCATAAATAAGAACGTAAGCAATGCATATTTAATTAGCTGTACTCATTACCAGGTTGAGGTTTTGTTTTTCTGTAAGCCGATAGCTTGTCGATCGGAATTTAATATTAATTGACCGATAAAAATATAAATTTACTATTGGCAGCTAAAAATATAATATTGACATATTAAGTATAAGTAGTCTCTCGGTGAGACAGCGGTGAGCCTACAGATTTACAACGCTAAAAATCAGTGGTTCGATTCCCCTCAGTGGACACAGCAGATAGCCCAATGTGGCTTTATTATAAAACATACACACATAAGTATGCTATTGACACTATATAGAACAAACTTGTTATTGACAGAACACATCATGCACCTGTTATGATAAATGAAATGACTTGTTACTCCATTCAAACAAAATGTTAATAAATTATGGGGGCATCGATTCTTAAGCCTAAAGTAATAAGACCTCCATACTTACAACACACTTCGCATCTGTTTTCGTCACTGTTGTCTCCGCATCCATCTAGTCCACTACATAGGATTGCAGTGGATCTACACTTCCCATTGGAACAACGGAAACTATTGGACGGACAGGAAGCTCCTGTGGAATACATTCTGTTTGTTTTATTTTCGTTTTCAAAAGTTATATTGTAAATATCCAGAATAATCCGTTAGTTATTAACAATTCATTATCGCCCAAGTGCATTGTACCTCAAAATTCGTCAACCGGAAACGCTAGGTGTCGCTGTAAATTGTAACTGGATTTCGCTGAAAGAAATGAAGGAGGAAATATCGTTATTTTTAATTATTTTTTTTTTTACCAATAAGGTTTTCTGCCCGTTCACAACCGAGCACGTGTCATTTTCCAGTTGTGACTTAAATTGATATTAACGCTTTTTTAGATAAATATTATCGCTTCATTACCATGTAAATAAACATCCGGAACAGAGACCTATGCAAACTCAGCTATTTCTACAGTTGTGATTGGACAGAGAGAATCAGACCGCATGGCGTCAGTAAAGTAACAGGAGAACGGTAGAGGCCTGTGCAAACTCAGCTATTTCTACAGTTCTGATTGGACGGAGAGAATCAGACCGCATAGCGTCAGTAAAGTAACAAGACACGGTAGAACATATATGATTGGATTATTTTAGTTATAACGTACGAGGTTAATAATCATTAGTAAACCTTACTATTATAAATCCATCCGATAGAAAATTGATAACATTCCATCATCACCCCCCCGATAAAAAAGTAAACTGAATGTTTTTTGTTGTTTTGTTTTCTAAACTGATAGATTAAATATTTGATACGGGCCCGGCATGGCCAGGTTGTTATGGCGCTCGACTCGCAATCTGAGGGTCGCGGGTTCGAATCTCCGTCACACCAAACATGCTCGCCCTTTCAGCCGTGGGGGCGTTATAATGATACGGTCAATCGCCACTATTCGTTGGTAAGAGAGTAGCCCAAGAGTTGGCGGTGCCTTCCCTCTAGTCTTACACTGCTAATTTAGGGACGGCTAGCGCAGATAGCCCTCGTGTAGCTTTGCGCGAAATTCAAAACAAACAAACAAACAGTATTTGATACATAAAAATACTTTAACTTTTCACTTTCTAATATTTGAGAGAAGCACAAAAGGACACTTAGCCTAAAATCATGATTTGGCTACGTGTTACATTTCATTCCTAAAATTGACCAGTAAAGATATTTGGTGGAAGGTTTGTGAACAGCTAACTCTCCTTTTAATTGGGATATTTAGTTCTGGAACTAAGCCGAGATTGAAATGTGTTAATTAACGTTACATATATTTGCATTATATTAAATCTAAGTTAAACATGAATCACACAACTTGTGTTTATGTGTACGGTATATTCTTTTTTGTTTCTTAATGTTACCTTTATTCAATTATTGGTTAGATTTTTTATATATGAAGTTCTAATGTTGTTTTTATTTTTTATTATAATATTTATATTATAGAGATTATTTTGCATTGTTAACTTAGTATATGGTGTGACGGATTTATTATTTTATATTTATTTTAATATCGACGTTTGTTTAGATTAAATTTATATTTAGAAGCATACATAGCTTATACTGTTAAATATGTATTGCGAAACTCCCACCTATTTTCTAAAGTTGTAGAAGATTCTCGAGTGTAAGAATCAACAATATATGTATGTACCTAAACGCTTAATGTAGCTTTGTATTGTTACGTAATCTGAATTTTCTAGAAACACTGCACACGCCTATAAGTATAACCAACGCAACGCGCCAAAAAAAGAGTATCTATTATTAGTTTGCTATAGTCAGTGTGCTATAAACTTCGGGAGCTATAACTGTGACTGTTAAAACGCTTATCAATCGGAAAACTTCAGATATTTGACCAGGAGCATTTCGAACATTACAAATCATTTAACTTCAGTGGTTTCTCAAACATTAGTACTTTTAAGAAAACATTACCCAACTTCAACAGTGGAAAAACTCTGAGTGTGTGGCTGGTGAATAACGAAGGACAAAGCTAACTAGCTCCCCGTTAAGCGAATTGTACCTTCGTCAACTCGTAATTAACTCGCTCATCGTGAGCCCTCGATAAGAAAGATATCGACGAAGTTCCAGAGTAGAAAGAAGACTTTATATTGCTTGTAAGTTTGTATAATTTTTGTATATAAATCATTGCGTATAATAACTATTTGTAATAACTGTTATTGTAAATTGTATTGTTGTTTGTATATTGAAACATATTTGTGTTAAAAAAGAAAACTGTGTTTATCAATCTTGTTGGCAAATATCATAAATTGGAAATATATCGGCATATATTTAAATACTGAATCCAAAGTACAATTTAACTACTAAATTTAAATTATAATTTGAGTGAGTTTCAACCCATTTGAAATAATAATACATGACAATGGATTTAGGACTAACCTAATATATGGATTTAGGACTAACCTCAATTTCGCAAGGTGGCCGAATCTCGTGGGATGTTGTTTGGTTACGGCCGAAAATATCGTTAACAATTAGGATACCGAATTGATTAAACAATGCATTATACGCTGTACAATCACACAGGTTGTAGAAATAATAATAATAAAACATGCGCAGTTACCTTTGTCACAGAGGTCCGGATTTTCATCACTCTTGTCCAAACAGTCTGTGACGGCATTGCAAAAGGAATATTGTGGCAAACATTGACCGCTGCTACACTGAAAGGCATTCTTGTCACAAGAAACACCTAATTAGAAGAAACGGGAACATTTCATTTCAACTTTATGATATAGTCCCTTTTCAATATTTTGATATTTGTGTAATTAATGTTGACGGAAAAAAAATTAACATTTCCTTGTTTACTTACTTAATGGATGACTAGACACATTTTGGACTTTTCCAAAGGGGAAACAAATTCTAAAAAATGATACCTATTTTTGTAACAGTAGATGGCGCGGCCGTACTGGTCAGTAGTTAACATCCATAAAGCACTTTGTTGCTTACATATATCTAGAGCTTTATTCCTACATAAGAACTCGTGGACTCGTGATAAGCGCGCTCATATTCCGAATCCGAGAGTTCATGGTTTGGGTCCTCTTGCCACAAAAAACTCTATCAGTTCAATACCAGGGAACATTTTAAAGCAAACAAACATGGATTACAAATCCATAATCCATATATTCAAGATCTACGCTATACGCATCATTTAATATATTTGAATAAAGTAAACATATTACAAATTCCAACCTCTATAGCACTGAGCTTCGTCACTTCCATCCGGACACTCCCACTTCCCATTACACACAGTTTCTCTGGAAATGCATTTTCCATCCTTACACTGGAAAGATTCTTTTGGACAATCTGTGGAAAAACGGATTTTAAAATATAAGTAAAGTCAAACTATAAATTATGACGAAAAATCGTAAAATTAGAGCTAAACAAAATATACTAAAAGGATCAACTCCACAGAATATTGAAGTATTTTTCTTAACTGATACTTAACTTTCCTGAGATGGAAAATTTCTCTAACCCATATTAAATGAAATCCATGCTGCCCGAATCTTTGTAAGTTTTCAACTTGATAATTACGTGGATATATCAAGCACTGAAGGGCAAATTTCCGGGAATTAAAATTTATTATAGATACTTAGAGGTATTACGTAGTGGTATCCTAAATTGTTGGAGGTATTGTTGCATCGTGAAATCCTAAATTGTTGGAGGTATTGTTGCGTCACGCAAAACTTGATACCTGCAGCTGTTACATCATATAAACCTAGACACATTGATGTGTTGTGTATTTAAACTCGGGTAATATTAGAGGATGGGGATGGGCCACCTGTATCGATACCACCCGGATTCAAACAAGGGTGGTCCACTTATATTGGTACAGAATATAGGTGGCGAGAATGGTATACTAATATTATTACTGTAAATAAAAGGGAAATAACGGTGTCCCACTGGTACTGTCATTATCCAGACGATAACGAGATTGGTCAACCCTCTATTGACACTGTCCAGATAGGAATGAAGGAATTCCACACGCATTGTCCTGACGGGAAAGAGGGAGGGTCACACGTATTGATACTATCCAGATGGTAACAAGAGTGATCCACTTGTATTGAAAATATCCAGATAGGAATGAGAGAGGTCCAGATAAAAATGAGGGTGGTACACTCATATAGATAGGGTTTACATGGAAATGAGGTGTCAGGAATGGAGGCCTAATTACTTTATTGCCCTAAGTACTAGCGAATGAGAATGTTCCACTTGTACTAAGTTACCAGATATTTCCTTGGAGTACTTACTGTGTGGGACACAATCGTCCTCATCACTTCCATCAGCACAGTTCTTTTGACCATCGCAGACAAAGTACCATGAAATACACACACCGTTCCTGCACTGAAATGTGTCGTTGTGGCAACCTGTAAGAAAAACATACGAATTGAAACAGTTAAGAATTTGTTATTTTAAAGAGCGTTAGTAGCATCAGTTCTGAAAAACGCTTACTCAACACGAATTAAATATAACAATCAGAGGAGGAACTTTATTATTCGTTTGTTCAAAGCCTTAGGAGGATTTTGTTTGAGCCTTCAAGACTGTTTTGTACGAGTTTCTATTTAAAAGGAACTTTGAGCTTTCAGGACTGCTGTGTATTAGTCTTTATCTTAGAGGATTTTTGTTTTGTTAAGGCTTGTGTACGAGTCTTTATTAATAAGATTTTTGAGCTTTCAGGCCTGTTGTGTATGAATCTTTACTTAAGATGATTTTGTACGAGTCTTAAAGTCATTTTTGTACGAGTCTTTGTTTAAGAGGATTTGGTTTGAGTTTTAGAGACACTTTTGTGTAATTCTCTTCAGGACAGTTTTGCATGGGTCTTCTTTCAAGAAGATTATATATTTTTTGTATCCAATAAGTTTGTTATGAGTGTACAAATAGATTTTATATGAATGGAGACTTTAACTTGTTGGGTTACCTTTAGTTTTAAATGCACACACACACACGACACACATAGTCTTCATTACAAGATAAAGAAAATAAAGATCAGTGTCTTTCATTGACGCAGATACTGAAGTAGAATAGCTGTTCCACAACAAAAGACACATTGAGTGCAAGAAATAAGTTATGTACATCGGATTTGTTGACACGACAGATGACAACTAGTTGACAACATGTCATCAATGTATAACCATGCATCAGTGTAAGTCCTGAAGGATTCAATATAAGCCACGATCGTATGGACACGTTAGCATCTGTTTCATTAAAGTGGTCCTAAAATTCTAATTAACTTTCCGCGATTTCTCAAAAGACCTGGCATTGTGGATAGGCTTCAAGGGGTGTGACATTACTTTCTGCTTGGAGCGCTAGTTGTTATCGCCAATCCTGCTTCTCAGTCACCAGCAAACGTAGTAAATTCCATCGCAGGGATAGAACCTCGAATGTTATCGTCATAGTCCTCAAACATATCATTAAGCCACAGATTTACTATTATTGGGTTTGCTAAAGGGATTAAACCTCGATCTTCATCGTTATTAGTCCCCAAATGTATTACTAAACTACAGATTTATTCTTCTTGGATTACCAAACCACAGAAAGTTATGCTCTAAGCTGTGCTGATGAGCCATCAATGGGCGAAACTGCCGTCCGCAGTAGAGGGTACAACCAATCATAGAAAACATTAGGCCTCTACGTCACAGATTATCCTTTCAAGTTTACCTTTGGTTAAATTGAAAAGAACTATGTAACATATATATATATATGCAATCAATAATAATATCTATTAAAACTGTTAGTCAAGCAACGTAATATTTATATAGGTTTGTCCAGAACTACGGAAACTTACCAGTTGATAAAGCGTTACACGTGGGAGTTGAAAAAATACACTGGCAGATACCTTCTTTACATATGCTGAATGGGTCTCTTGTTTGACACTGAACTGTAGATGAACATTGTTTCCCCAAGGACACCACAGTAATGAGGCTTAGGTGCTCTTCCGTCTCATGTAATGTCAATGTTTCTGAGTTCACAATTAAATAAAAACATTAATTTTGCTGTTTAATGATACAAAGGTTTAAATAGTAATAGAAGCACAGCCTTTATTCTCAAATTCCCGATAACAACCGAACAAAAGGAATCAACGCAGTTGGTATTTTCATAAAACCTTCATATTCACGAGTTTTTTTTAGTTTTTTTTATCGCATCTAATTCTTTTTTCTTTTTTTTTGCGAATAAATTTCAAAATGGATTTGATCTGATTATTAACAGGTTATGGTAGAATGTGTTGTTTTTTCACTTTAATTCAAGGTTAATTAGTTGAAGTTTGTAAAATATTTCTCTCACCAGTATGTTGTTCATCCAGTCGACAACGTAGCCTATTTTTTGACGGTGTGAAACCCGGACGACAAGTACAAACTGAGGTTTTCCCAAGTTTACGACAAAGACTATCAGGTGTCGCTTCTTCACAATCTCGGGAGCTTTTACATTTATTACCCAGATCTGCGGTTAGAAACAAACATGGATTCGAGACTATGTTTTTCAAAGTGTTTTACTAAATTATGAATATTTTAGCTTAATTTTTATAGCTAAAGAACAAACAGGTCCCAAAACATACTATTTAAATAAGGTTTATAACCTTTATTTTTTGTTAGTTTCTAACTTGCCAACATTGTGACACAAATGAACAAATAAAGCTGTACATACGCGGTAAGCATCGATTGTCCTTTGTATAAAGGAATCCAAGTGGGCAACGACATTTCCCATAAATCCGAGGAATTATCCAATCACAATAGGTATATTTGTCCGCTATACGGCACTGCTCAGGATTGAGGCAGTATTCATCCACTTTGGCCGCTGAAAATAAAATAAAGAATATTTGTGAGAAAAAATGACAAGAATACAAACAGTCTATTATAATTATATTAATTTTTTGTCTGTCCTGAAAATGCGTGCGCACACGACTACATAAATGCGCATGCGCTTCATTCTAAAGTATGTTATCAGAAGGCGGATGTAAATATACTTTAGTAGACGTTTTCTGCAACAACATATTAAAAACTTATCAACGTTGTTAAAAAAGGTCTAACGTTAGGTCGTAGAATAACAATATAAGTATATTTATTGATAGTATTAAGAAAGGTAACTAAACTAAATCTAAAAACGTGCACAAGTTACAGTGTTAATTTATATCGAATATAGGCCGTACTTAATAAAGGCTTAACTAATGTTAGGCCTAAGATAGTGGACTTACAGATTTCGGTGTCTGTAATTAGAATTATTTTGTATTATTCCATTTTTAAAATTCCAAATCATTTTTAGCCAAAGCAAAAGTGTAATTAATATGACAAAACTTATCCTTCTCTGTCCTTGAAGACTGAACAAAAACTCACGCATATATATATATACGACATAAAAATATGTATTTACTAATTTCGTTGTTATTTCACGCCCTCTATATCATACTTTCGAGTTCACGTGTATTTGCACAATGTAAAAAACTAGCTTTAGATTAATGATGTTTTCTATTTGTTGAGGGGAGGGAGTTGGAGTCAAGACATCCTTGGTAGGTCCAGATAACCATTGCCATCCCATAATTTACTATGTAAGTTTTTAGCCATTTCAAGTGGCCCAGTTTAAAGCAATAAAAATATCATGTCAAACACGCCCTGTCTGGCATATGTATGACGACAATGTCTTTCGCTTTATGCCAGGGCTCTTTAGGTCGGATGGGATACGACAGACATAGAAATATATGGGACTTTATTTAAATTAGCAAACTGCTTAACAATAACTGTTATGGTGTTGGGTTGGTGAAGAAGAATTTTTAGTATGACCTGTGGGTCGCGGTATCGAATATCATCACCACATATACTCCTCCTTTATTAAAGAATAACCGAGGGGTTGACTGTGAGGGGACGGCTATCACAGATAAGCTTCGAATAGCAAAAATTTTACTCTGGGTGAGACTTACTAGAAAAATGGTTCTTGTTCTACATAATATACAATTTTAGTATTTGAAACACTATCTGATACTCACGTGGTAAACATTTGTCTCTTCGTAGGGGCAGGAAGCCGTGTTGACATTGGCACAAACCATTCACACATTCACTGTCCTTCACTTTCAACTGACACTGATCGTCAACTGCACAACCAAATCCCAGCAATGACGCTATAGAAGTATAATAATAAAAGTAATGGTTAGATTTTACATTAGTTTAGTGTGTACAAAGAAATAGGCATAGGAACTGAAGGGTGGAGGATAAACAGTCAGGTAGGACGTGCAGTGGTCCACCCATACATTCACAGGTTCACTCATCTATGGAATACTCGTGACGTAATGAGTGAGAAAAAAAGCTTAACATTAAATTAATACATTTGACGAATATAGAGGCCTAAGACCTATTAGTTATGTTTCCTGTAACTCCACGTGCTACCTAGTCATTCCAAATCAACTGCATGAAATGTTGAATTTTCAACTCCAAAACACAAACAAACTAATACGTAGTTTGTGATGTTTGAAACTGATCTAAAAAGTTCGATTACATTAAAATTTGTTTCTGGAATCGTCTTGTTTGTTTACTTCCACCATCTTATACTACTAATGCATGTGGGCTAATATATATATACATGCAGGCTTTGTAGTTTTTTAAATTGTAAAGTCATATATATAGATAACTATATAAATTTTTCAAGTTGTATAGATGCATGCATAGATATTCAATGCAAGTATAAGACAATGTGTCATAATATAAGAACATATGTACACAAATAAGCATTTTTAATATTTCTTATAGTTGTTGTATTTTCCTCTTCCACATCTTTTTCTTCTCCGCTGGCCAGATTTCCTTTTAGAATGACATCCTGCACACTCCACAAGATCGAAAACGTTTTAATGAACAATTATAAGTTGATTATATTGATATGCCTTTCCCCTATCTATTTCTGATGGAGTTTGTGTCGTGATTCTTCTACGACCCTCTTCCACTGTTACGACCCTAAACTCTGGTGGGCTGTTCCTGCTGCATACTTTATTGAAACTAAATATTTTCCAAATAAAATAAACAGCTACAACATTTGTGCCTCACTTTCGCCTAGATTCACCATCATTTTTGCCATCTCCTGCTTCCACGATTCTTGCTATCCCTTATAGTTAGCTTCAAGGATGGCTACTCTATCTGTAGTATCTATAAAATTCGCAATCACGCATTGTTAGCTATAATTCGATGCTTCAACTATTACCATGATTGCCGATCCGATGTTCAAAATTGACCTTGGTCAGCAGCGTCGTGTCCGAAAGGGCAGGAACCCTCTACATAAATAAATAATACAGAACACCAATACAGTTGCAACAATCAATTAATAATCGCTATGATACATGTGTCATCCCTGCCATAAAAACATTAAATTATTTCCATGGCTTGCACCCAGTTATATAGGTATATTAGATTATGAGGCTCCATATAAACCACAGACTACGTGAAAGCGACTGGGTGTCAACGGTTATATAGCCACTGTTATTTGCTCGGTAGTCAAATAAACTTTAAAACTACCCTACACAACGTGCAATGATGCGTTTAGTAATATTTCCTAGGTTTTATTACAATACTCACAGCCATTTTTGCTGCAGATAGGCGGAACAATATTAAATAATAATAAAGAAGAACAAATGGGCAATCTCTATTATGAACCGCTACAGTGGTTCATGATACTGAAATAATAGTAAAAATTCTATTGGAAAATCATTAGTGTTAAATTTTATCATATCAACAGATGACGCTAATAGAATTAGACTAACGTGGGTTTTTGAAAGCTTGGTAAAATTATTTTAAACACCTGTCGCAATTTATGTAAAAATATAACAACAAAATAAAACAAGACAAGTTTGATCAGTGTTCTTGATTACCTAGGATCCGCTTAAATACGGAAGGAACTAGTGAGGTACAGTATAATAGCCTGATATACGTAGGTGTTAACATAGGGTCAACGTTAGGTTTCAGTTTTGTTTCGGCATACTGAATACTGAGAGAAAGCATAATTTCCTCTCCATTTTCCGTGTCTTTTTTCTACTTTTACTCAGAACTATCGAAAATTAGAAAGGGCAACAATGATAATGTTGACTGAAGCAAAAAGAAGCTAAGCTAGTAACGTGTAAACAAAGCTGTCATAAGTTATTATAAGATTTAATAATGCATTAACATATCAACAACGGTCGTTTTTTTAAGGTAGGAATATAGCAATCCAGAAATGGTTGTTGTTTATCTATCTATCTTAATGCAGATTTTTTTCTTGAAATGGATATGTTTTAGAAAAATACATTTTCAATGAATAAATACAGAAAGGCCCCAAACCTGTTTATAGATACTTACGAGGGAGACAGGTCGTTTCGTTATATAACACATAGTACGGGCGGCATCTGCATTCTTCGCTGTTCCAATCACAAAAGCTGTTGGGTATAAACATCAAACACACTAGTGACGACCGGCAGGTGGCGCCTATCTTCATTGATGTTGGGACTATATCTATAAAAAAAGGGAAAGAATTAAAATTTGAAGAGTTTTTTTTTTTACTTTGAAGAGTTTTCAAGCGACCTTTAAACAATGTGAAATAGCCGAGCCTAACAATACTATCTGAAAGAACGTGAAAAAACAATGCTCAATGCTATCTGAGATATGTGAAATAGTAAAGTCTAACAATGCTATCCGAGAAAAGTCGAAACACGCGATTCTGACCCTAAACTTGAGTTTAAGTCTTACTGAAATGCAACCTTAAAATAATAGCTCTGAAAGAAGTGAAATCGAGACCGGCTGAAATTCGAACAGACGATTTTGATTACTGGACCAATCTGGCATTCGAAATGCAATCGTAAAGCTGGTTACAGTATCTGTTCGGTAAACTTAATCGTAAATTCAAATCCTGCACAATATAAGTTTTAACTTCTTCCAAAACAATCTATTTTCACAGAACGATGTGCCACCCTTAAATTCCCACGCTTTTAGAGAAAGAAGCAGAAAACCTGGAACAGTACAAATGAAGCAGAGGTGTAATAACGGATAAACGTAAGAAACGCCGTGATGTGTATTCGTAATGACAATAAACGAGATAAGAAATATTTATTTTTTTCTAGGTTTCGAGAAGAGAAATAGTTGTAACGAATTCGTGGATTGTTTTATAGCTTTGGGGGGAATGAAGAAGTCATTTCTGTCTTTCAATGTATTTTTTAGATTTTTATAAGCACAGCTTTCAGGATTGCAGCCCTTCAGGGATCGAATCCTAAATTTTAATGTTATAAGCCGTTAAGATTACTGCTGAACCACTTGGGGGGGGGGGGCAGAAGAGAGTTTGTTTCTTTGATTGAAGTTAAGTACAAAGCTCACATTGGGCTATCTGTGCTCGTTCCACCACGGTTTCCAGCGTTGTAAGTTAGAAGAGAGAAAACATAAACATAGTGTTTCAAAATATTTTGTTTTCCTTGAAATAGTTATGTTCCCTTTGTTGAAATAGAGTACCATAGGGCAGCTTCATCTCAGTATTTAGGGGAGGGTAGAAAATAGAAGAGTTATTGAAGTTTCTAATTTAGTTGTACTTTAAATAGACGTCTGCAGTTAATTAAACTTTAGATTTTAACCTTCTATTCCTGGATATGAGAAGTATAACAGTTTGTGATTAATAAGCACAATTTGCATCAAAACATTTTCTGTGAAGTTTTTCATTAACCCTAAAATTACCGATGATGCAGGCCCCATCGACCTTTGGAATATATTTTTCTAAATAATTCATTGAACAAGTTAGCCGCGAGTTCACGACTTTATTGGTTAGGGCGTCTCTGATAACGTAGGTCTCATAAAATAAAAAAAGAAAGAAAATAGCATAAATATTGCAATTAATTACACTAATTACTACTAGGTGCCGGCATGGCCAGGTGGTTAGGGTGCTCGACTCACAATAAGAAGTTTGCGGGTTCGAATCCCCTTAACATCAAACATACTTGCCCTTTGATTAAGGCGTTTATCAGTGAAAATTGGGGGCATATCATCTGCTGATGGCGCCCCCATAAAAGAAAAAAATTATTTGGTCAGTTTTTTCACTGAATGTGCTTCCATCCCAAGTGACCCGCTTCTGGCTGTTTGTCCTGAATTTATATCTCCAAACTTGCTGACCCTCGAAAGTTAAAAAAAAAAAAGCACCTTTGTTCTTGTAAATGGCGGGATAATGCAACAGCGCATGCAACATTACTTCCTAATTTGGCTGTGTTCGTAGTTGGAGAAACACATCTATCATTTTACACCCTTCTTATAGTACTTGTTCAAAAGAAATATGCTCAAACTTTTATTTTCCAAGAGGTAATGTTTAACTTATTTTATCGCTACAACCTGCCCAGAAATAAAGTGCTCGTAATCTCTGATGTTAATTATAATGATAACTAATTCATGTAGTAGCATACGTTTTTCTCTTTTGATAACATTGAAAAAAACGTAGAACACATAATTTATGTCTTTTAGCTGCTTTTTTCGAATTTTGTGTGTGTATATATATATATTTACCAATACAACCTTCGTTAGTCTTTATTTTCGGTTATTTAACAATATATATATATATATATATAAAATAAGCAATGAATATAAATAATTTTAATTTGATTATATGATCACGTTTAATGTAAACATTTTAAATTTGATTGTATGGTCATGTTTAACATAAGCACTTTTAACTTGATTGTATGGTCGTGTTTAAAATAAACACTTTTAACTTGATTGTACGATCATGTTTAATATACATACGACTAGCTTGATTGTATTTTCATGTTTAATAAAATACCTTTGATTTGGTTGTAAGGTCGTGTAAATACGCTTGTTTTGACTGTCATTTTTATCGACAGAAGGTTAAAATTTCGACTTTACGAAAACGCCATTTAGCGTGTTCTCCATGTTATTAATTTTTTCTCGTTGTTGAGAGATCCTTTTGATGGTCGAAAGAACAGCTCCCACCCCTCCCCCCGAAACATCCTGTCGAGAATTAGTCCCCTATACAGAAAGCAATGAGTGGACTGTATAAGGTCATCGAACGCGGAGACAAAACAATAAAATTAAAACCATCGAAATATACTGTTCAAAACAAACTAACAGTGAAGATAAGAGTGTCAAAAATGAAGTTTTCACCAAACACCATAGATGGACGTTATCCATGCCTCCACAAAAGCGTTCACCCTGGAGTCTAACACTTATCATGATCCTGTAACTATAACAACTAGTAGATCAACCGAACGAGTTTGGAAACAAGATAAACAGGTAAATACTCCCGGGTTCGCTACCAAACAACATAAGTAAATTCGGCCATATTTGACTTTCAAACACTCTTCGAAAACTAATTTTAGAGCAGCCACACTACGCTAACCCATGAAGTCCAGGATCGCAAGCACGAGTGCAATCTTTAATCCTCTTTGAACGCGCCGAAACGTCATCTGTATCGTGATAAATATCCGGAAGTAAAGAAAGGTTCTGTCAATAAAGGAAGGCAAGGTCATTAACACCTGAGGTACAATGGTTTCACACATTTTTTTTTTGTTTTTTCTACTAACAAATCAAAAACTGAACCAGGAAATAAATAAATAAATCCCGACAAAAGAAGCAACGAAGAAAGACAATATGAGTTGTGAAATAAAATTTTTATATTCATTGTCGGTTTAAATAGCACAAGAAAGACAAACAATTGTTTTGGACTCGCGATTTTAATGGCCACAAGTTATTTCAAACGAGTCTTTTTTTATTATTCTCCCAACATAGTTGTTTAATCTTTGTTGGGCTTTTTTCCCCGTTAGTAACTTCACTTGAGCATAATTTAATTGTTGCATAATCTTTCTTCCTTTGGTTCTTGAAAAGGGTTCAAAGAAGTTGGATCCTTGGTTAATTTGAAACGTTGCATGCTCTGACTTTCTTTAAGGAATGGGTTCAACCCCGAAGGAACGACCTTGTGATAATTTTAGGTATATGGTAAAGCCACTACGGCCATCTCCCGTCGTTCCACATTTTGAACTACTCACCAGAAAGAAAGCAGTCAGCAAGCAGCGCCATACCACCCACAACCCATGTTAAGTGACTGCTACTCTTACAACACACTCACAGCTTAAAGTGTGGGAAATATTTTGAGGTATCCAGAGCTCTACCTCAGTGCCAACCCACGTCCCAATTTTAAATGATTTTACATTTGTGTTCGGATACTGATTTTTTCCAGTGAGTTTTAAAATTTAGATAATATTATAATATAATGTTTTATTTCAGTTGTAGAATATGCTTCAAGGTTTTTATAATATTTTATAAAAAAATCGAACCATTTATACCTGTGCGTATAAGGCTATGTTATTAATATTTTAGTGAATTCAGTAGGTTCATTACTGTATGATAACTTTTAATGTACATGTATGCTTAACTGCTTGTTTTATTGTTAGAAGATGTTGTTAAAACCAATAAAAAAGTTGTATTAAACCCCGTTAATAAACACTCACTGACAAGAGTTATTAAATATCCTCAACAAGTATTGGTAAACACTATCAACAAGCGTTATTAAATTCCTTAATTATTATTGTTAAACATTATCAACAAGCGTTATTAAATTCCTTAATTAGTATTGTTAAAAACTATCAACAATCGTTATTAAGTTCCTCAATTAGCATTGTTAAACACTATCAACAAGCGTTATTAAATTCCTTAATTATTATTGTTAAACACTATCAACAAACGTTATTAAACCTCCCAACTAGTATTGTTAAACACAAGCAACAAGCGTTATTAAATTCCTTAATTAGTATTGTTAAACAGTATCAACAAGCGTTATTAAAAAACCAATTAATATTGTTAAGCACAATCAACAAATGTTACTACCCCGATCAACAAGTATTTTAAATCTCAGCGATGTGAATGTGGAGTGGCTGGTGGGAACAAGCCCCTGCCTTCCTGCCCCAAAGTGCCCTTTTTTTCTCTGTCATAAAAATTGTAACAACAAGTAATAAAGGATGCACCTGTCTCCACACCTTGCTTGCCGCGAGTGTAACAGAGGCAACCCACAGTCACCATAATCTCCTCTAACACACAAGG